ATTTCTGGATTCATTTTTTTGACTTTTTTAGAAATTCTGTTTGTTGATATAATGGATACTCATGCAAGCACAAATATTACCTTGTATGCTTATATATTGTAATTGTATATTAATATTAACTAAAATTTTATCCCTGCAGAGAAATCATTGAATTGCAGGGTAGGTTTTACTTTTTCTTTTGATCTTCTGATTTTTTGATTTTTGCCAACCTCAATCTTCACATAATGTATACTCAAGATATACTGTAATATATTCTGTAAATTTATTTTTTTAAAATTTAAAACTAATTTTTTCAAATTTCAATAATATCTAAATTCAGATTCCAACAGTAAAATAAGAATTTTGATAAGTTGTACAAAGCTGTTCTTGATTTTTTCTAAGTTTAGTAAGCTAGTTTTAAGCTTTCGATTAATTTTAATTATATTTATAAGCCCAGAATCCAATTCTAACCTTTAATACAAACTTTGTGAATTCTCTGAAAAACTCAGTATTTTTGAAATTGTGTAGTGACAATTATCTTTATTTTATCTATACAATATAAAAGTATATTCTTGTTATCATTATATTCATCACTATTATCATATACTTCTATCATATTTGCAGACCTATCATCAAAAATACTAGTTTCTAACACTGGTTTAAGATTATTATAGTCTTTAAGAATATTATCAATTTGAAAAAAATTTATAGTTCTGAAAATTGAACTGCTAATAGTTGGAACTACTACTTCAAGATCAGTAGTGATTTTAGTTTTCTTTTTTGGATTTGCTTCTTGTCTTTTTCTAGCACATCTTTCAGAACATATATTACAAGTTATATGCTTATATTGTAAATTACTATTATGAAGTCAGCAGAAGTCTAATTTTTTTTTAAACACATGATAGCTATTATATTTTTTAGTTTCAATAATAGAGATAGATAAATCACTTTCATTTATTTTTAGTTTATATACAAAAAATTTTATTATATTTGTTTTAGATATGAATTTATATTCAAAAAATTATCCAAGTTATAATTTAATTTAATTTAATTAAATCAATTATATTCTTGAATTTATGCATGATAGATATATAGTTTATAGATTAAACACAATATATATTGATATTAGATAAGATATTGAGATATCAAATTTAAATAAATATAAAAATTTAAAAATTTAAGATGATGTTTAAATAATATTTTATTTAGACTTAAATCAAAATTTTAAATCTTAAGACCAAGCATGATTTAAATATTTTTTTAATTTTTTGAATTTTTCTTCTTATTACAATTTAAAATTTCTTTTTAATTATAACTAGAGTTGAGATCCTTTGAATATTCATTAAGATTATTTAATGAAATTCGCAAATTTTAATGAATTGTAGATAATAATGAATAAATATACATATTTTATTGAATATTTATAAAAAATTCACAGTTATTTAGGGAATTCGCAGATATTCATAGAAAATTCACAGATATTAAAAGAATTCATGAATATTCAAAGAATTCACAAATATTCTAAAAAAATTCATGAATATTCAGAGAATTCACAAATATTCATAGATGTTCTAAATATTTATAGAGAATTCATGAATATTCGAAGAATTTGAAAATATTCAGAAAATTTATGAATATTTATAGAGAATTCGCAAATATTTATCAAACAATACAAACTTATTTATTATTTTATAATTTCTAACCTACTTGAACTTAACCTAATTTATGCTCTCCAACTAACCTAACTCTAATTTTTAATATATATTTTAACTCATCTTACTATTGATTTTAAGTATATATTGTTTAAGTTTGGTCTCAAGTACATATACTTATAGTAAATTTAGTAAAAGATTAATAAATTTAAATTAGTTTTATCAAATTAAAGTTACCTGTAAAAGGCTGGTATAATAAGTTTCTTAACTCTTTCACATTTTATAAATTAAAAAATATATATTAGCACACATTCTATAAGTATGCTTCTTTATAATTTTCTCTTTTTAAGTATATATTATTAAACCAATAAATTATCTATGAATGCATATCTATATATTTATAGAGAGTTGACTATAGTAATACTTCTGTAAATACATTCTCTTTAAGTGTATATCATTAAAGTTAGATTTCAAGTATATACACTTTTAGAGATTTACTGTATATGTAATCAATTTAAAATTAACTGAATAGTTTGAGTCTATTAAATTTATCAATTTCCTTATATTGATTTAATATTTTTTTTTTAGTTTATACCAGAGCACAAAATTCTATTATAAAATACTAGAGATTTAGTTTGATTAAGTTAATTTTTTGTATAGTTTTAAAGGGCCAGAAATTTTATAATATAAATATATTATAGAAGTTTCTAAATTTCGTTTACCAAAAAAAAAAGCAAATTACAATATGCTGAAATTTTGTGCCCTGGTTTATACCTCTATAATTATCTTGCGTTATAAACTCATATTTAATTTATCAGATCTTTCTTACATCAATCTGAATATAATAAAATTATTTTATCAAAAAATTAATATAAATTATTTTTATTATATGGTGCTCCAAGTCACTTCACATCAAATGCGCCAAATTTGAGTCTATATAAATGCTTTTTAGCCAATCAGAA